GTACCTCCTTTTCAAACCACCACAAGTAAGTGAAGATGTCATCTCCTCAGTTAATTGCCAACTCCTGCGTGGCAACGGATAAAAACCATTAGGTGGCAAGTCCAGTTGTCTTCACCCCTTTCTGACCCCTATAGAATAGATGAAGTGGATAAGGGTCTCTCCAACACTAAGGCCGAGAAAGTGGCAGAAATGGACAGAATATATCCAAAATTTCTGAAGAACCTTGGTCTAAAGGCAAGAAGGTGGCTGGCAGACTTTTTCAGCAACATCTACTCTTCTGCTAGAATACCAAAACAGTGGAAGATAGCCAAGCTTGTAGCCATTTTGAAGCCTGGAAAAGAGGCCACTGATCCAAAAAGCTACCAGCCCATCTCCCTCTTTAGCAGTTGCTATAAACTGTTGGAGTGGCTCATGCTTCAAAGGTTACAGCCAATACTGGAGCAACGGGTCCCCAAAGAGCAGGCTGGATTTAGAACCAGTCACAACTGCTGTGACCAGGTGCTGGTCTTAACCAGCTACGTAGAATCTGGCTACCCGTGAAAATTTAAAGCCGGGGCAGCATTCGTTGATCTGTCTTCTGCATATGATACTGTATGGCACAAAGGTCTCCTGCTGACGTTATCATTAGCTTTTCCCATGGCAGTCAACCATCAGACTCATCACCAAGATGCTGAGTAACGAAAGATTCATCTTGGTAAATCTGTCCACAAATTACAGTAATTGAACAACAGCCTCCCACAAAGGTATGTTTTAACACCTGCACTAGTCAGGCTCTATACCAGCAACATTCCAGCCACATCTTCCTGTAAATTCATCTATGCAGGCGACATTGCACCAAAACCACAAACATCCTCTCTGAAGGCCACATCAAAGGTCATGAACAATGACCTCCAGACACTGGTAATGTATTTCAGAGCTTGGTGACTGAAACAGCCTGCTTCAGAAATACTCATCTCTGGCTTCCACTCGAATAACCATGAAAGTGGACTTTTGTGGTCTGCCTCTTTCGCCTGACCACAATCCATGGTATCTTTGTGTTACCTTTGATTGGATGCTGAGCTGTTGCCAACACCTTGACAACAAAAAGAAAACAGAGACACGGCTTAAAATCATCCAGAAGCTTGCTGGCATATCCTGGGGATGTGATACCTGCACGCTTCGAACATCAGTACAAGCCCTGGTCTTGCCAATGTGGAGTATTACACACCAGTTTTGGTGCAAGCAGCTCTCACACCAATCTCATTGATATTGAAATCATTGCCATGCTCAGGATTATTACTAGCTCTCTCAAATCAACACCAGTACTATGGCACCCAGTTTTGGTGGGCATTGTGCCAACCAACATCAGGTGAGAGGTTGCTGTGGTCTGGGAGTAAGACAAGATCCTGGTGGCTCATGACCTCAATTCACTGCCACTCTCCTGACTCAAATCCAGGAAGTCTTTCTGGATCCATGCATCAGCACTACGTGCCAACCACAAGGATGCCAGCACTCTCTGGCTCGAATTGTGGGCCCCTTATGACATCTCAAACAGAGACCTGATTGAAGCTCCAACGAAAAGTCCTGGGATTTCGTCTTTCTCATAGGCAGTGGACTATACTCAATTGCGTTTTGAACAGCACGCAGAAGGTGTGGATCCCTCCTCCACAAATGAAAAATCAAGGAATCACCAAATTGTGACTCTGGTATGGTACAAACCGTGTGATACATCATGGACAACTGCCCCATATACACCTCTACCCCGACATAACGCGACCTGATCTAACATGAATTTGGATATAACGCGGTAAAGCAGCGCTCCAGGGGGCGGGGCTGAGCGCTCCGGAGTATCAAAGCAAGTTCGATATATCACGGTTTCACCTATAATGCGGTAAGATTTTTTTGGCTCCCGAGGACAGCGTTATATCGGGGTAGAGGTGTAGCTTACAGTGGTGGCAGGAGGAGGATCCACCTGGCTACCCTAGACGTATTAAAATGGCTTTCAAATCTCAAGAGTCCATTTTCTCAGCCTGTTGCTTTTCAAATGTCATTTGAAAGTAGAAGACTAGCCCCACATTTCCGACTGGAGTTTGGCTGCAGAAAGCTCATTCTCACACAGAATTAATAAGGTTTTTTTTATAGATTCCCCAAATTGTCAATGCTATATATTGCTTTTATTTAAAATAATCTTGTTGCCTATTGGTAACATAACTGCTATGTAATCTTCAGAAAGGTGTGTTCATGCCTGTGATGTGATAGCATATCCTATTTATAAAATGCAAGAGAAATTCAGTATGGTTTTTTTAATAACATTTCAAAAAGTTAGGGTTGCAGGAAATGGTGCTTGCAATATTTATTCCTTTTTTTAACACAATTTGAATTCTTGTCCTTGAAAACACTAACATTAAGTCTCTTGGTTGAGGCCAACACTTACGTTTTTTGGTCATTATTCATCTCTAACATATACTGAGGCAGTTTCACATTGTGTGCTTCGACTTCAACAGTAGTTTTAGAAGTATTTCTTGTCCTGATATTGTATAATTGTGATTTGCCTTATGACATTTTAGATAAGATTTTACATAATGGACTAATTTCATTTATGCTGCTGGCTATGTCAAGTGTCATAATACCACCTCTGAATGAGGGATTCCCTAATTGGCTTTTATTAAAGCTGAGGTACATAAGGTGCAGTTAGTTTTCTTCTGTAACTGATCTTTTAATAAGGGAAAACTTACATAACACAAATTCATGCCGGGGCGGAGGATTTTTGTATATTTCAATAAAGGTAGATTTATTATTGGCTTATTTTAATCCTGTCACACTACTACAGACTAAAACATCTCCTTCTTTATTTGAGCTTGATTTTATTTATTTATTTATTTTCCCCCTTTGCTCATGGAGGTTTCTGGGCTAAGCTTTCTTAGTTAACGCTCTGCATATCACTGCTGGCTCCTGACACACTTTCATTTTGAGTCATTTGTACTTCTCACCTCCTAGCTTTTAGACTCTCCAGCTCTAATATTGAGCTTGCTGGACAGCTATATTATTCAGTGTTTGGGTTTCTTTTTGTCAGAATGCTAAAATTACTCAAAGAACTCTTCCTCATGCCCAACCAAACACCTAAAATGGCTGACAAAAGCAAAATGTCTTAAGCTCTCACATCACTTCCAGTTGTTGTTGTTCCAAGTGATTCAGAGCAAGCCAAGGTTAAGATCAAATAAACAGTTAGGCTTTTTTCGCCCTTCCAGGTTATACACTTTCTTCTCGTAAAATCTTATGTGAATAATAAAGTACATGAAACCTTGAATAAGTCTTTGCACAACTTGGGACTCTGACAACCTGTGTGTGTACACACACACACACACACCACACACACACACTTTTATATGTACTACTACATTGGAGTATGGAGTCACTTTATGGCCCATGCTCTGCGGCAGCACAGTGGATACTTCCTCTATTATTTTTTAACTTGTTTTCTCAACCAAGGATAGAAACGTTGGTTATGTCATGTCTTGCATATTCAGGTTTGATTGTATTCAGCCCTCTTGGTTGGATAGATTTTTCTGTAAGTTTTGGAATTTGGGTAATTCCAAGTGTTTTTTAGCAGCAGATCATGACCAGTAGTTTTTTTTTGTCTTGCAGTAGGGAATTCCTTCTTGAAGTAGTTTTACCTGCATAGGAAGGACAGTTCTTGTATTTTTTCCATCCAGATCCAGTCCAGGGTGTAGCTAACTGTGTAAATATCTGGAAAGTATCGATCAGAAAACAAAAGTGGAGCGTTCTGATAGCAGGTCAGAGATTTTGCCGGATGAATTTTGAAGTTTCCATCAGAAGTTTCTCTGAGAAGCCTTTGGGATCTGGGAGCCAATGGATTAGCAGGATGCCATGTTAGTCACTTCTTCCTTTTTAATGTTGGAAGGGACCATTGTAAATCTCTAACCTCCCGAATAGCTCAGGTTTTGGGATTTTTACTTCATCAAGCCCTGTAACTTGTGGCTAAACTGAAGAATATCTTCTAGAAAGACTTCCCTTCTTGATTTTAAAGATTTAGTTTTGGTTAATCTATTCTGTCTCTTGGTAGGTTGTTCCATTGGTTAAGTACCCTTACTCCTAAAAATTGGCACCTAACTTTCAGTTTGTCTAGTTTCAACTTCCAGTCATTGGATCTTGTCATGTCCGTCCTGCTTAATTAAGGAGCCCGCTGTTATTACATCATCGTCCCATGTAGGTATTTATAGGCTATAATATTTGAACTTGTGCATTGAGTGTATCCGCTATGGTCAGTTTAATAGCTTAAGTAGGTTTCACGTGCGCCTGGAAATTCACCCTTTTAAGGAAAGTTCTGAAAAGGCTGCAGGTCATGAAATTAGCTGGAAAAGACGTGTATTAGGTCATCATGTCATTGCCTTTCTAAAGTGAACTGGACCTTTACAGTGTGTGAATAGCAGGTGTCCATGCTGTAGGGCAGGGGTGGCCAGCCTGAGAAGGAGCCAGAATTTACCAATGTACACTGCCAAAGAGCCACAGTAATACGTCAGCAGCTCCCTCTCCCAGCACCTCCCACCCACCGATCAGCGCCTCCCCCTTCCTCCCCGCACCTCCCGATCAGCTGTTTTGTGGTGTGCAGGAGGCTCTGGAGGAGACAGGGAGGAGCAAGGGCATGGCAGGGCTCAGGGGAGGGCACGGGAAGGGGTGGAGTTGGGGGCAGGCTCTGTGGCAGAGCCAGGGGTTGAGCAGTGAGCACCCCCCAGCACATTAGAAAGTTGGTGCCTATACAAGGAGCCGCATATTAACTTCCGAAGAGCTGCATGTGGCTCCGGAGCCACAGGTTGGCCACCCCTGCTGTAGGGAATATCACTGGGGATGGAAATAAAAAAATTTATGTATTCCCCAAAGTAGATTATTTTATAAGGCTACATATTTGTTGAGTATTTATTTACCATGACTGAGCAAATATCTGGGGCCCTAATAAATGTATTGTGCCTATTAAAATGTTTTCTAACTTCCTTTTTTAATAGAATGGTCCTAGTGCCAGATCTTGTCACAAGATGTGCATCGATATTCAGCGAAGGCAAATCTACACACTGGGCCGTTATCTGGATTCCTCCGTGAGGAACAGTAAATCTCTGAAAAGCGATTTCTACCGTTATGACATTGACACGAACACATGGATGTTGCTAAGTGAAGACACTGCAGCAGATGGAGGTCCCAAGCTGGTGTTTGATCATCAGGTCAGGTGCAGAGATAAACATTGAGTGCACTTTTACTTCCTGGGCTTTGCTTAAAACAACATTTCTTACTATAGCCCATTACTAGAATTGAGAAAGTGTGTGCACCAGGTAATGCAACTAAAAAATATATTGGGAGAAATGGATATGATGTATTTTTTAAAAATATATGTTCCTAATTAGCAATGTTAATGTTACAGTATAAAAAACCTACCCTATTTTTTTTTTTCAAGAACATGAAGTTATTTGTTAGTATCTTGTAATCTCCTATAAAGATCAAGAAACAATGCAACTATGTCTGGGAAAGCTAGTCTTTCACAGTGATGTCTTGTCAGTGAGTAACAGTTGCTCGTCACTGGGATTGTGGCACCGCAAACATATTGTAGCCAGTGTTGGGTGTTACTGTGGACAACAGTGCAAGAGACAATGCAGATATTGGAAAAAGAGCTTGGTTTTTGATCAAAATTAGGCCTACTTTTAATTTAAAAAGAATTATGGTGTGTGCGTGCGTATACACGTATATGCACTTCATAGGCATAGGAATTCATTACGGAATTGGCTGCCAGTTTTTCTTTGGAGTATTGTACCTTGAAGAATTCAAATTAAAAGTAAATTGATTCTTTTTGCTACCTTTTGTGCCAAGCTGTGATCTAACCTGTGCGGAGGAGCCACCTAATGCTGTTGTAATTCCATCTGTCCTCCTTCCCTGCGTCCCCTGCTTTTTCCTACTTTTTTGTAACTCCGTTTGTTGTTTCATATCTGAAATAAGTTTTTTGGAGGCAGGGACCACATTGTCGTCTTTGTACTGAGAGGCACTTTTTGGGTGTTGTAAAATAGTTATGTTTCAAGCTTTAGAGATTGTTTAATAACAGTACATATATTGCCATAAGACCTAGAGACCTTACAAAGTCAGGACCCTGCTGTTTTAGAAATAACAGATAGATGAGACAAACAGGAAGGCTGTTGGAGGAAGAGGGGCAGAGCTGAGCATGGGGTAACAAAAACCATAGGCCATTTTAATCCTAGCTGTGTGTGCAGTCCTTGGACAGTCCTCAGTAATCTTGACTCCCCCTGCCTCGCCGTTATCAGATGGTAGCTTTTTGTATACGTTATGACAGAGGTTATTGCAAACAGTAGAGTAGAGTAAAAAAGCAAACCATTGACGTCTTCATTTTTACTCTTGTACATCAAATTTTGAAAACACTATTGAATACTCCGAGGTGACCAAAGTGTAGCCTGTGCTTGCCCTCATCTTACGCAGATGGGGAGAACGGAGCCACTAGACCCTGGCATGCAGTGTTGCTTCATGTGGGCAGCCAAGCCACATTGTAAACTAGGGGCCAGTAATCTCTGTGCACTGCATCTGTATTCCCCATGGAGTTAGCTGCAAACTGCTTCATTTACTACAGATTAAGGAAGGAGGATGTGCTGATGTTAACTCATGCTGAATATTGCTGTTCTACTGGTTACCTCAATGAGCTAAGGGTTTTTTATCGGCTGATATGAAATATTAATGTATTCTTGATTAAACAAATCTAGTTTAACATGTATCTCTTGCTTCCTACAGATGTGTATGGATTCAGAAAAACACATGATCTATACGTTTGGAGGTAGGATTTTGACATGTAATGGCAGTGTAGATGACAGCAGAGCCAGTGAACCTCAATTTAGTGGATTGTTTGCTTTTGACTGTCAATGTCAAACATGGAAACTGCTGAGAGAAGATTCGTGTAATGCTGGACCTGAGGACATCCAATCCAGAATAGGACACTGCATGTTATTCCATTCGGTAAGAGTTAACTTTGGATTTTAAGTTGTAATGCCTGGTTTTAGGGGGTGATACCTGTTCAACTTCATTGAGCACATGAATCTTTCTCAGATTATTCTTTTGGGTGAGAAGTAAAACAGATATTAGCCACTTATAATCATTAACACTGGCACTGTTTGTAGGAGACAGTGGTAGTAATGTGTGTTTTTTGTATACTTTTAAAATTCACCTTGTGATTTAGTTTGAAATGGTAGTCATCATCTGAACTGTATGTAGTAGTGTGCTGACATTAAACAACTGTCGCGTTCCCTCCTCTCCCTCTCCCTTCAGGGATGCTGCATTTCCGGGGGTCTCAAGTGATCTTTGCTAAAAGTTGGTAAAGCATTTTGGGATCCTTTGGCCTGATAGATGATGCATATTATTAATGGCAGCAGGTGGTGACTGCCAGGAGCTCAGGGGCTGGGCAGGAGGGTCCACGGGTCAGATGAGGCCCACAGGCCGTAGTTTGCCCACCTTTGATTTATTACAAGATACTTTTTTCAAAGTTCCACTTTGTTTCAAATTGCCTTCTAAAGATTTAGAAATATTGCTAAGTTATTCCCACAAAATACTCTTTCAGGTAACACTGTGAACTTGTGTATGTTTTGTGCTCACATACATGTTTGCACAGACTCAGCTTATGGAAATTTTAGACTGTTGTCTGTTTTAAAAAAAATACTTGAAAAAGAGCAAAAGCAGTGTACCTACACGGAGGAACTTTTAATTGGTCATCCTTGGGGAAAAACAATAACATACAACTGGTATATTTGATTAGTCATTTCTGTCTATTGTGTGTCTAATATGAAAACTTTTCTCTCTCATGATCCAGTTTTTCTTTTGGTTTCTGTAGTGAAGTCATGATCTTGTGTATTTGACTAGGAGACTGTTTACCATAGAGAATGATTTTATCACAAGTACAGCATTGTAACTTTACTGCCTGTCCAAACAGGATTGTAGTAGTTAAATATGGAAAAAGTTCTACTAGATCACTTCATTGCTGATCTGATATTGGTAGGATCCAGTACTGCTAACTCTCTATGTGCAGAAGTTGTAATTGAAGTCAAGAGTTGCATGCACCCTGGGCTTTCAGGATCTGGCGCTGGATCCGAGTTGGGAAGCAGTGAGCATAACAAGATCCAGTTGGTGGAAGTTAAAGTTAAATAAATTGAACATTAAAATAAAACGTTGTTTCTTAGCAGTCAGAATAATCTAAATATTGGAACATCTTACCAAAGGGGATGGTGGACTCATCACTGATGCCATTAAAATGAGATTAGATATATTTGTAAAAGAGATGCTTTAGTCCAGCTTCGGGTCATGTGTTCATGGTGGAGCCTTCTGGCCTTGGGATCTGCGAAATCCTCCTGTTCATCACCTTCCTTCATGGGCCTGGGAGAGGATGATTGTACACGTTGCCCTCCACATGGTCATAACACCTGCAGCTCTACATTCAGATGATAAACAAACGTCATGGTTCAGGGCTTCAGGGGTCCACAAAGAATTTTTATTCTCAATACAATTGGCCAGATGTGTGTTTGTTTTGTTTTAATCTTGCTCTGTGGCATCAGAGATTGGCCATAGCTGAAGATAGGATACCATGTGGGGTGGACCAGTTCTTTGAAGTGGTACAGTGAATCATTTTCTTAGATGACTGATTAGTGAGTCTTGCTCTCATCTCCCAGGGTCAAACCTCCATAGTTGGAGTTTGGGAAGGAATTTTCTCCAGGTCAGACTGGCAGGTGCCTTGGTGGGTTTTTTATCTTCCTTTACAGTGTGGGGAATTGCCTGCTAGGATCATCGGGCGTATCTCACCAAGTCAATTCCCTGCCTTTGCAAGGCCATGGGCACTGATGGCACTTTGGTCTCGTGTTCGCTGCCTGTGGCACAGCCCATTCTCTTGAGGACTGAAATGCTTTAGTTTAACTAAAATAATTGGGCTCAATATACGGGTATGGGGTAAAATGTAATGGCCTGTGATAGACAAGAGGTCAGAGTAGGTGATGTTATGGTCCCTTCTGATTTTAGGGCTTATAGTTTCGTAGAGTTTATTTAAACAAATGTCTTCATAGTTTACCCATGTCATCAAAACATCATAAAACGCTGAAAGATGAGTGGATTTGTAAGCCTACTATGTTGGAAAGGTTCCCCCAGTAAATGTTTCATTTAAGAGCAAACTGTTTGCCAAATTAAATCAACTTTTTCTGGGGAAATCTTTGTGGGGGCAGGAATCAAAAAATATAGTGAGCTCAATTTTAATATTTTTTGTACATTTTCCGTATGCCAAAATAGCCAAACTGATGTAAATAATTTTCCCTTCTCCAACTAAAAATGTGCCTGAACTATTGCTTGTCTTCATGATTCATTGATGTTTTTGCAAATGCTTACTGAGAGCTGGTTGGCTAAGAATTTCTTTTCTTGAGCACAGTTCAAAAGTTAAGCATCTGCTTTCCTTCCTTTCCAGAAAAACCGCTGTTTATATGTATTTGGTGGGCAGAGATCGAAGACTTATTTGAATGATTTCTTCAGCTATGATGTTGACAGCGATCACGTGGATATCATATCAGATGGCACCAAGAAAGATTCAGGGATGGGTAAGAGCTTCACTGTATAATGTTGTCTTGTTGGTATAGATGAAAGACTTAAGGTATATAGCAGAAGATAAGACCTCAGTGGCAGAGGATAGAGGCTCTAGTCCTGTTAGATCACAATGGCTTGTTGACAATAGTGACATCCAACTAGAGCTTGCACTCTCTTGCCCACTCTGTACCTGTTAGTTAAATAAATGGCTGACTTAATTCTCCAGGGCTGTGAATTTGGGATCTTCACCAGTACTATTTTTAAGGCTTACAAGTAAATCACAGTTTGTTAGGTTTTACCATTCACCACAGTCTTGATGGCCTTCTAGCTATGTGACTTATATTATTTCCCTCGTTCTAGCAAATGATCAATGCTCATCACCTTGCAGCCTATAAAAATGGAATCTTAGCAAAATATTTGCTAAAATATTTTGTCCCAATCTCTGGCAAATACTGAAAACAAAAGAAGTTCTACATATAGTTTGTTCCTTAAACCAATGCAGTGTAATACCCCCTTATTTTTACAGCGCCTTTCATACAAGAAATATTCCAAAACAGTAGAGAGTCTCTCTTCCAGTTCATTATTTGAGGGATATATAAAGTCAGCCAAGACAAGAAATGAGCTGTAGAATTGATGAGGCAGAGATATAGGGAAGGTATTCCAGATGGCACGAGCCGCTTGATAGTAGCCAGCTTCTGTAATAGGACAGAGAAATTTTATGCTAAAGGAAATGAAGGGACTAAAGGAGTAGAGGAGAACAGGTTTGTGAGTTAGGCTTGGTCAAGTCCATGTAGAATTTGCCAAGGAGAATGAACAGTTTTGAACTGATCCCTAGAACTAATGGGAAGCAAGTGGAATTGTGTGAGAATCAATGGGTGATTTGATGCACCTTTTCTCTGTTGAAAGGCAGGTAGCAGGTATTTTGCAATGTGGAGAAAGGGGTTGAAGGGAAGCCATAGAGGGGGGTGGGAATTGCAATTGTCTAGGCAAAAGGAAATTAAGGCTTAGGTCAGGATTTCTTCAGCGGTGCAGTTGAGGCAGTGACTTACACATAGTGGCACTCCACACTCAAAGCATTTACTGCCCATTGACGTTAATGGAAAGACTCCCATTGGCCTCAGTGAATTTTGCATTGGGCCCATTCTGCCTTATTAGCATTTTTTAGTAAGACTTCATATGTAAGTCTTGCTTTAGTTTTTCTTTCTTCCTTCCCTTGACATTGGCAGAGAGATCCTGTAGTTCAAGTTTGTTTGAATGGATCATGTGACTTGCAACCATCTCTGTATTATGATCTATAAAGAGAATCATTTTGGTTCTAAAACCTTGTCAAGAATACCATGTTGTTGACAGGTGCTTTCAGAAATATCTAAGAATGATTATTAGAGAGAGAAAGTGGGTGAGGTAATGTCTTTTTTTTCTTTTTTTGGACCAATTTCTGTTTGTGAGACAGACAAGCTTACACAGAGCTCTGCTTCAGAAAAAGACCTGAAGAAGTTGGTTCAGTAAAAGATATTACATCACTCTGTCTCTAATATCCTGGGACCAAAACAGCTACAACACTACATGCAAGAATGATTATAACAGAATCAGAAACACTGTAATTGTTTTTTTATCTTCTAGGTCTGACACTTACTTTCCCCTCTAGGGTAAAGTTACAACGTTGCTGATGTATATTTCCCTTTTTATGAAAGAAGGGAGGAATTTTCTGTATGTGCACAAACTGTGTTAAAGTATATAAACACCAGTTTTGTCTTCCTTGCCAAGTAAAGGAAGGGCCATAACTCACTAGAACTAGTGCCTGTTATTTAATTGTGAAATTCCCTGTCACATTCAACCCTCAGCAGGGAAGTTAAAACTGTTGTTTTTCTGTGTGCCATTATATTTCTGTGAGAATATTGTGTATATTTGTAAGAGTTTCTCATTTATGCAAGTAATTTTTCCTTCTGTTTATTTGGGAAACAAATCACTTATGTTTAAAAACACAGCTTCCACCCCTTATTTTGATCACTTTTTTTTTTTTTTTTTTAATTCATTTGTTTTTTGTTTTTTTAATTCATTTTTTCTTAATTTCTTTTTTCTCATTTAGTTTGCTCACTTGGGTTAATTTAGTCATCTAAAGATTGAGTAAATCTCAAGCAAGAGATAAAAGTTCATGATACTCTTCCTGCAAAGTGATTTTTTTTTTTTATACTCTTCACTGTCTTCCTGAGGGAGATCCAGATTGCATTCTGTTCACAATCTTATTTAAATGCCCTCTCTGTGCTTGGCGCTGCAGTAGGACCCCCCCCCCCCAAAAAAAGACCGTGCCCACAGTTTAAAGGAAAGAATATCCTTTACTAGTCTGCTAGCACTGGGTTATTGAGGGAAACTGCAGTTTTGAAAATCTAAATGGCAAACATTTGTGTGTGTGTGGCTTTTTAATGAACACCTGTGATGAGTTCAGATTTTAGAAACCAGACTTGTCTTATGACTAGTGAGCACAATGAGCCACGTTTCTCTGGCCAAGTATATTAATTGCACGTTTCAGTTAGTCAGACAAATGAGAACATAATAATTAGCCCTCTTCCCCCCTCCCTCCAGCCCCCTTTAATGTTGAATAGCAGACTGTGACTAAATGATTCATTAGAAATCATTTATGAATAGATTTCCAGTTTGCTGTCCTCATGTCTGAGAAAGTAAATAAACAACTTTGAACATTTCCCTTGTTTGTGGAAGGAAATGTTAGAATTATTTGCTTTTAACAAGAACAGAAGAAAGGCCTATTATATTCGAAACCACAAATGCTGTCAAAGAATTATTTTGGTCAAAGAAAGCAAGTCTGGATTGGAACCCTTCAGAATGTTTAGTAATGAGGCACTGGTTTAGTAAAAATAATTCTGACACGGGCCACTGTAATATAAACTTGACTCATCCCTTGAAGTGCGGTTAAGGATGCTTGTTTTACATGTTAGTATCTTTAATGCATTGTACTTCATTTTGCTCCTGGTTTTCAGTTGTAGGATCAGATCCCAAAGTCTTACAATTCAGTTATATTTTTAGCTCAATGTACATCTGATGCCTTTTCTGCTTGGGAGAGCACCATAACCCTGATAAAAGCAACAGAGGGTCTTGTGGCACCTTTAAGACTAACAGAAGTATTGGGAGCATAAGCTTTCGTGGGTAAGAACCTCACTTCTTCAGATGCCTAAAGAGCTTCCAGCTCTTTAGATGAAGTGCTCCATTTGCTGAAAGGCTCGAGGGCCACGCTATGATCCTTTTGGGACACTCTCACTCTCTCATGGAAAGCACTGTAATTGTCAATCATAGCAGAAGACCTAGTCCTACTCCCAGAGCAGACAGCCAGAGTACCCGCCAAGAAAAAGATCTCACTACTGCAGGAGACACCCGTTCTTGTCCTCAGTCATTCCCCCTGCAGCATCACAGAGGCAGACCGTTTGACGGGAATGTGGCGCTCTGATGCTTGCGATGGCCTTGCCCCTTTCCACTGGGCGTGGTCTACTCTTACAACAGAAAGTGGATGTTGGACATCATTTCCCATGGCTGCCATTGGCTTCATTCCCACACTTACTCCCTATCCTACCTGCTTCCCTAGCCCTCTTCAGGGTCCCTTCTCATGAGAGCCTGTTGCAAAAAGTGGCCCCATTGCTACATCTGAGAGCCATAGAGCTGGTACCTCAGGTGTACAGGGGAGTAGGTTTTTACTCCTAATATTTCCTCCCCCTGAAGAAGGGGGAGTCTTCCTCCTGTCCTAGACCTGAGGAGAATGAACAAATGCATATGCCACCTGAGATTCAGAATGATAAAGCTTGCCTCCACCATTCCTTTTCAGCAGACTTAAAACTGGTTCATGGTTCTCAGCTTGTAGGACACATAATTACAAGTGGCCATCCACTGACCCACAGAAAGTACTTGGGATTCACTCTGCAGCCAAATGACTACCAGTACACGGCACTTCCCTTCAGACACTCCATTGGCCCGAGAGTTTTTGCAAAATGTGCCTGGTGGTGGTGGTGCATGCACCTGAGGAGATGGGGCATCCACATCTACCCGTAAATTGATTGGCTGATCAGGGCAGATTCCAGCAGGAGACTGTAACAAGCCTAGATTTTACTTACACACACACACACTCTCTCTCTTTCTGTGTCTCTCTCTCCCCCTCCCTCCCTCCGGGTCTCCTACTGAACTAAGAAATATCACTTCATTCCCCCGAAAGTTAATGGGAGCTAGAGAGCGTACTTGCCAAACAGGTTCCTGTCCTTATAATTGGTATTACTCAAGATAAAATCAAGCCTGGCTACAATATACAGACTTGTCTTGGAATGTTAGGCTGTATGGTGGCGTGCATATACGTGATGTTGCTTGCCATACTTCACTTGCAACTCAGGCTCAAGTCAGTCTTCTCTCCCATCAATCACTGGATGGACAGAAAGGACTTGATGCCACCTCACATCCTTGCGGAACTGGGATGGTGTCTAGAACCCAAGAACGTAAGACGACAGACTCTAATCAGACACTTCAGGGACAGGTTTGGCATCTGACCTGGTTCACAAAAGACATGAGAATTCACATAAATGTCCTGGGGTTCCTGTGATAGATCTGTTTATCGCAAAGGACAATGCCAAGTGTTAGAACTACCTGGACCTGATTTTACAACACTATGGTAAGGTACTCTACCCAGTTCCAAAGGCCCTCCATCTAACAGACTGGATGTTGGTTGGTTAGGTACCATGGATAGGGACTGCTCCGGACAAATTCAGGAGATTCTGGTTCAGAGCAGGGATGTCCACCAAGAAAAATGATTTATCAAAATGGAAGTAGTTCTCTATATGGGCATCCCAACATGGCCTGGATCCTCTGCAGGCTACAATACTGAAGATCCTCAATGACTTGCTGCACGTAAAACACTCTAACCCTTCACTGAGCTTCACTATGGTTCACCTCGCACATTCTCAGTGTTCCCATCTGCCATGCAGTTGTGCAAGTCTTTCCCCACCTGATGATATTGACGTTCCTC